TTCATATTTTCTATTATGTTTCAAACCTCCATAATTCTCACTGCTAAATTCTATGAAATGTACTTCTATACAGTCATTATTCAAATATCGATCTCGAACTTGATTTTTCTGGAATAGACATGAATAAACCAAGTAACCTTTACAATGACACATATAACAAATACGTGATCTATGCTTTTGCTGTTTCTCTTGGGCTGTTCTTAGATTCTGTACAACTTCATTAACAACTATTTTCACAATGTTTTCACTAATGGTACTAAGTAATTTCACATTCCATTCTTTTCAAACTCCAATTTCGTAAACTATGTCAATTGCCACTAAGGCACTGTGAATTGTTCTGACTTTGACACTTAATTACAACTATTCTTGGTTCACTTACACACAGATTCCAGACTCTGATGTTTAATTACAGCCTATTTATCCACTAAAGTTTCTGATTCAATGTTCACTCACACAGAGTTTCAACCTTGATGCCAACCACACAGGTTTAGGACTTCGTATCTCTTGGTCGATTAGGGTGATTCGGTCTCATAGTATTGATTGGAATGATAGTTCAATCTTGGTTATAATTGTTTGAGGTAGTAGTTTGGGGTTGATATTGTGAATTGTGATTTGGGTGATTAGGGAAGTTCAATCTCACAGTCACCACCAAATGAGAAAGTGGAAAATAATCCTCTTTCTAGGTAATACCAATATACACTACAATACAACACTAAATACTAACTAAACTACTCTAACCAGAATACTACAACTAATACAACCAAACCCTAATACTGGTAAGGCAACGATTGAGGCGTGAAAAGACTTGGTCCGAGTAACTAGAGTGAATTGGGTGCTTAATGATAGTGTCAGATTAGAGCTCTAGATTACATCATAAATCTCTTTATTCAGAATCACGGGATTTGATCATGAATTCCTTCCATTAATGCAGGATTTATTTATTAGGGGGGTTAGAACAACACTTCCTTTAATGTTGAACTTCAATCGTGAATCTCAAGTTAAATACTCTGATTTCTTTAACTTGGAACTTTGAACTCCCAAGAGCTGAGTTATTCTTTATTGAAGGTAAATATCGTTACTTATATGCA